TATAAATTATTAAAAGTGCACACGAACTTTATGGACACCTTATATATATATATATATATGTGTGTGTGTGTGTGTGTGCGCGCGCGCGCGTGTGTGTGTGTGTGTGTGTGTGTGTGTGTGTGTGTGCCTCAAGCTAGGCGGGAGTGCCACTAGCACGCAAGGGGTTACAGAAAGTGGGAGCAAGAGTAAAGACGTGTCAGAGAGGAAAGAATGTAAAGAAGAACTGGGAATAGATCAAGGCATCTAGAGATGTCGAATTATATTGCATTTGGATAACTGGAGATTATAGCTAACAGGGAAGCAAGTAAGAGGAAGGGAGTTACACAGACGGGAAGTGCAAGACATATAGCTATTGGAGTAGAAGAGACGTATATATTTAACCGTTTCCACAGTGAAAGGGTGGGACTGAAATGCCAACCTAGTAGCACGTTTAAATTCATACAGTTTGGGAACCAGTGAAAGTAGCTCCTCGGTGCAATTACCGTGTAAGTATCTGTAGAAAAGACAGAGGGAAGCGACGGGACGACCGTGGGACCGCGAATGTAAACGAGATACCAAATCAGGGCCAACCACATTGCATATCCTTCTCTGGGTTTTCTCGAGGACCCTAAGACGAACAGCGGGGGCCCCATATGATAGCAATATTCCATGCAAGGGCGAATAGTTGATTTATAGATTTGAAGGATGGACACAAGCGAGAAAATGTTTCTGGCGTGACACAGAGAACCAACATTCCTTGCGGTAGATGAAGCTATTGATTCAATGTAGTTGTTCCATCTCAGGTCAGCGGACAGTGTAAGACCAAGCATGCGCAGAGAGGCGCTCTCGTGGAGTTGATCATCAGACATTCTAATGGGAGGCAGGGAGGATTTTCTGTAGTGAGTAATAGAGAGCAATTTAGTTTTTGAGGCATGAAAGTTAACCAGCCATTACCTGCCCCAGTCAACAACCAATTGGCAGTCCTTTTCGAGACAAACGGCCAGGTTAGTTTTGTCAGTGATACCAGATTTGCTATTTAGGCAAGAGTTAATAGTGGTGTCGTCTGCATAGATGCCTACTTGACATAGGGAAGATTGTTAATGAAGATAAGGAACAGTGTAGGACTCAGGATAGAGCCTTGGAGTACACCTGTGTTCGTGAGAAAGGAACTTGAGGAGAATCTGTTAAGGACGGCCTTCATTACACGGTTTGACAGGAATTATCGTATTAAGTCAAATAATCGTCCTGAAATACCGTATCCCCGAAGCTTACGAAGGAGGCCAGCATGCCAAACCCTATCAAACGCTTTATATATATATATCTAGAGCCACAACATGTGGTTCTCCATCATTGTGAAGTGCTTGGTAAACAAATTCAGTTATGGTCGTGAACACATGTAAAAAAGACTAAAAATAATTAAAGGACTAATAATAAAAGGAAAAAGCCAAGGCTCAATAACATCAAGTATGAACACGGCCACAATGTGCTGACCATGCTTGGAAAATAAAGCATTTCTATAACTCTAGAGACATACGTAAAAACATATATTCAATTAAAAATTAAAAAAAAATCGCCCTTATAATGGTTACAATAATAGTCGAAAGTGCTCGGATATGCAGAACATTTGAACAATTTTTACACACCTTATGTCCAGAGCAGAAAACACATATATCAGGTCATCCCATAAGTTCTGTCCGAATTTTGAATAAAGAAAACAAGTGACCAAATGTTACATTTAATTACAGATTCAATCAACAATGTATTTTCCCTGATTATCTATGACTTTCTTTCCATCTATTAACAAGCTTACTAATTCCATTACTGTAAAATTCTTTTGGCTTTGATTCTAAGAACTCACAAATGTCAGTTTAAACCTTTTCCTGTGTTACAAAAGCTGTTTCTTCCAAATGATTCTGTAAGCTACGAAACAAATGGTAGTCTGAAGGAGCAATATCGGGAGAATAAGGTGGATGAGGAATTTTCTCCCAACGAAGTTCTTCGATCTTTTGTGATGTGATTCTTGCTGTGTGGGGTCGCGCATTGTCCTGATGAAACATCACCTCTTTTCGATTCACTGGTTCAAACGCTCTAATTGCTGACAGTATATTTGAGCATTAATTGTTGCATTAGGTGGTAAGAATTCAAAGTGGATTATTCCTTGGCGATAAAACCAGATTGAAAGAAGAACATTTTGCCCATGAAGTTCCCTTCTCGGCTGTGGCTGGGGTCCTTTCCCTTTACCAAGCCACTGTCTACGTCGCTTAACATTTCGATAAAAGATCCATTTTTCGTGCCAGTCACAAGTCTATCCAAAAAAGGTGAAACAAGTTGGAGAGAATGGAGAGAAGAGCAGATGTCAACTCGGGATTTGTGGTTGTTTTCAGACAATTCATGAGGCACCCATTTTCCAAGTTTAGGAACTTTTCCAAATTGCTGAAGATGACGATGAACAGTTGTATGGTTTGAACTGAGAACCACTGCCAATTCCTCAACTAATAAATCAGGATTTTCTTCAAGGGCT